CCATTGTGATCTTTACACATTCATAGGAAACATGGGGTAACCGACACTAAACAATTTCTGGGGCTGGAAGGATTAAAGCGACTACAAAAAGTTAACAGTAGGCCCTGCTGTGTTTTTATGGAGACAGATCTGGGGTTCTCTCTGTGTGCAGTTCCCTTCTCTCTTCTGTGAGCTCTAGCCGCCAGGGTCTCCTGGGACTCTTAGCTCTGTTGCCTCAAAGCAGGGAGTCTGGCTACCCTTCTCTGCTCCATGTCCTGGAGACACCCCCGCCCCCCCCCCCCCCCCCCCCCCCGCAACCCAGGGCCACAGAACTGGGTGAAGTTTTACCAACATCTATGTCCACTTTCTGGATGGCTAGATGACTCTCTGCCAAGTTATCCTGCTTGTCTGGGTCCTCCGGCCCTGCATGCCGGACACCAGAACCTCTGTGGCTATTCAGAAACTGTTGGTAAAAAGAATTACCAGTGCCCATTTGCATCTGAGGATTTTACCCTCATTGACTGACTATCCCAGTCACTCTGGAAATGCAAACAGCTTTCTGGATGAATACTGGGACCTGAGTGCTGCCAAGGAACTAAGGTGGAGTTCCTCATCTGTCCCTGTCCCCTGACCTTTAATGCTTTCCTGTAGTTATTTCACACTAAAGGCAATATGATACGACTTGCTCATTTTTAGAAAAGACTATATTTTGATTTTCTTTAAAAATAAAATGTTAACAGCAAGAAAGGTCTATAAGAAGTTCCAAAAACTTCTTTCAAAAGATGGCAACTTGTGGGAGAATTCTAAGAATTAGAAGTGCATCATTTCAGCTCTGCAAAGGACACATGTACATTTTTGTCCAATTTGGGGTGGTTTGATGTGGAGTACTAATACTAATTACTGTCTCTGCTGCTCTTTGATGGAGATCACAGTAATGGCTTAGAAGAAATTACATCTCATTTCCTTTGGCAGCACAGAAGTGATTGTTCTCAAGGAGGGAGAAAATTCAAAGATTGAGGTCAGAAAGGTTAGCGTCAAGCTGATTAATTATTTTCTGTTGTGAATTTTAAAATTTCCTAGAATCTTTTTCTTCTAACGTTTGCCATGTGGTTTCTGAACAGAATCTGCTTCAGTTAAAAAAAAAATATGACAGTTCCTTAAAAAGGACTATGTTCTGAAGGAGTTGTCAGGGCATTGGCAGCGGCAGGTAATGAGGTAAGGGCAGCCGCTGGGGTCCCGGTGAATGGGCTTGTGGCTTAGATCAGGCAGTGCCAAGAGGAGCATTTGCTCTGGCAGCACCTTGCCCACTTCCAGTGCTGGCACAAGCAAAGGCAGAAACCACCTCCCTGGGAGGCCCAGCTGAGTGCCCTGCAGGAGGAGCAGGCCATATGCGTGTCCGGGAAAGAAACCCAGAACTAATTAAGAGCTTCTTTCCTCCTCTAGCTCTCACCTACCCTTGCACATCAATGGGGCCAGTCACACTCTAATTTCTGTTCAGACAATTGACTTTTTCCTGGACGCAGCCTGTCATCCTTGTTTACACATTTTGCCATTAACGGAAGGAGTTTTTCAAAGCTGGACATTGCATGTGCTCATCACTGCCTTGCCCTCAAGCTTCAGAATTGTGCATGCAAAGCATCTGACCCCAGAGATCTCTTTTTCTGAAGAATCATTCCATACTCTGGATTTTAACAGTTTTTTGAATGAAAGAAATTTAGGGGCCCTGCTACCTTTCTGTGTAAAGATTGCATTTGGCTTCACAAAGGGAAAGTAAATGCCTCTGTTTGAGTTTGTGAGATTTTTTTGTGCTTCTTACCCTTTAGTATTGGAATGTTAATGGTGGTGCCAGGTCCCTTTGTGGATCCCAAAGGGTGTCATAATACAAGAAGGCAGGTACTAGCAAGTTCAAGGACAAATAGATGTACAAAAGACTGTGGATTTGGGCAGCAAGCATTATGGACTGTAGTCACCGGACCTAGGTTTTAGCCTGTCTCTGGATCCAACTACTGTGATGCTGGGAGGCCATTTAACATTGGTGGGTTTAGTTGACTAATTTCTCAAATCGGGACTTTCAAGTGAACTTGGGATGGCAGATTCATTCCAGCTCTGATACTCCGCAGCTCTAAAGATCTTTGATGAAATTGGAAGAAGAGCCAGAGCGGCCCTAGTCAGCATGGCTCAGTGGATAGAGCATCAGCCTGTGGATTCTGGTCAAAGACACGTACCTTGGTTGCAGGTTCCTTCCCAGCCTGGGCCCTGGTTGGGGCGTGTGCAAGAGGCAACCAATCAATGTTGCTTTTTCTCCCTCTCTAAAAATAATGGAAAAATATCCTCAGGTGAGGATAGAAGAAGAAGAAGAAGAAGAAGAAGAAGAAGAAGAAGAAGAAGAAGAAGAAGAAGAAGGAGGAGGAGGAGGAGGAGGAGGAGGAGGAGGAGGAGGAGGAGGAGGAGGAGGAGGAGGAGGAGGAGGAGGAGGAGGAGGAGAAGGAGGAGGAGGAAGAGAGCCAGAGCAAATTAAATTTTACTTACATGCAATGAATAAGGCTGCAAATTCTAAACAGTACTTCATTTTGTAATTTGCTTTTTAATAAGCAATTTTAGACTTATATAATACCTTTCAGTCTTCAAAAGATTCTATTCCGATTAGAATCTGAATTTTATAGCTAAAGAGATGCATGGGGACATAAAATAATGTGGCTGATGTTATAGGGCAATATTATTAACATGAGAATATTCATAGATTTTTCTGCACACCTATTTTACAAAAGAGATCCCGTAATGAAATTACCAGCTCCGTGTCCCCTTTCTTAACAACTTAAGAAGGAAGATGTTCTTGCTGGAAGAGATACTAAGGGGTTATTTATAACAGGCTGAGTGAGAAGAAGTTTGCTCGGAGGGAGAGGAGTTGGAGGTGTTTAACTAAACTGCACTGTATGAGGGAAGTGATTAGAAATTTGAAATATCCTGTTAGTAAGTTTATTGTGGATTAATTACAGATCTCTCGAACACGTAAAGATAAGTTTTAGTTTTTAAATTTCATGGTTGCTGTTATGTTTTTCTTGAATGCACCACAAGTCTAACATCAAATTATATGATGGCAAGATTTTTGAGGATGATCATGCTATTATAAATGACAGGTAGAGGTCCAGTTCCAAGTAGATTCTAAGATCTTTTCAGGCTCAAACAGGACCCCTTCTGTCCAAGCTTTTCTTTTCTCTCTAACCTCCTTACCACCCATTGTCAAACACTTATTAAAGTCATTTAGGGGTGACTCTAATATAGGTCTTTCCCTTGATGAGACCCGCAGGGGTTCCAGGCTTACCTGTTGTAACTGTGGTCGGACACCAGGGCTGTCTCTGGCCTGTGGGCTTGGAAGAACTGAATAGAGACCATACCCAGGTACAAGTTAGCTGGTAACATTATTCCCCATCTCTTTTAGCCCACCCTATTTCAGATTCATTCTCTCTTTTTTAAAAATTTATTTTTTATTGATTGATTTCAGAAAGGAAGAGAGAGGGAGAGAGACAGACAGAAACATCAATGATGAGAGAGAATCATCAATCAGCTGCCTCCTACATGCTACACACTGGAGATCAAGCCCACACTGGGGATTGAGCTCACAACCCAGGTATATGCTCTGACCAGAAATTGAACCGTGACCTCCTGGTTCACAGATTGACTCTCAACTGCCGAGCCATGCTTAAATCACTTTCTTTTCAACTCTGGCTATACCCTGCCAATGGAGTTTGGATCATTCCTAGACTAACACCAATTTTATCATGAGAGGATGACAAAGCATAATCACAAAACACCAAGTCCCTAAGTAAAAACCTCTTCACTTAAAGCAAAATAAAGGAGGGCACATGAAATGTTTTTGAAAAACCACTAGAATGAGCTGTGAGGACTTCCATCCAGTTATATCTCTTTTCATAGCAATGACATTTGAAAAGAAAGACTATTCTTTCTTTCAATCAATATTTTTGGAAAACCTCTAGATGTAAAGGTCATATTTTAAGGTCATATAAACACAAATCAATACTTCAATGTTGCATTCTTTTCTTTATATTTGTGTTTCAGTATTTTTGTAAATAAAAATCTAACAGTATAGTATCTATTAATTATATTAATCCCAAATGAACAACAACCACCACCAAAAAATAAAAAAATTAAAAATTTTTTTAAAAATGACTTCAGGGCTTAAGTAGGTGAGAGGTATCTTTTTCATGTGTAATAGGATGGCTGGAGTTAGGCAACCCAGGCTGGAGCAGCTTCTCAAGGATGTCCAGGAATCAGACTCAAGTTGTCTACCTGCTCTGCCATTCGTAGTCATGTCTAAATGACCACAGCATGGCTGCTGTGCATTCAAGAAAGAAGAAAGAAGAATAATTGGCTATTGTTTTTGACCCATGCTTTATTCCAAAAGGGACAGCCTCCATAGAGACTTGTGTCTATATTTCATTGACCGAAACAGTATCACATGGCCTCCCCTGCAAGGGAGTCTGGGAAGGTGACTACTTTACTTTCCAGCCTCTGTAATAGAGGCAAGCAAAGGAAATGGGTAAGATGGGTGTCAAGGGAGCGAACCTATGATGCCTGACATAGTGATTTCTCATACATATAACAATGAATACAACTTATAGCTACATTCCTCCCCTGCAGTCTACTAGCTGATTTCACAATAACATATAAAGATTATACAGGAAAAATGCTTTCTAAATTATAAATTGCTTTGTGAATGTTATCTCTGATATATATTTAAGTGATTAATTGGATTCTCAGCTTCCAAAGAATTGGCTTTGATTCCAAACTTGGCATACAGAAATATGATAGCATTATTTTCTCTCTTTTCAGTAATCTTCTATAATAATAAAAGCATATTATGCTAATTAAACCAGACAGCCGACCGACCTTCCAGATGTCATTCCAGGTGTCCTTGGACAAAGCTGCAATGGTGGGGGCTGAAGCAGAGGTAGTTAGGGGCGATCAGGCAGGCAGGCAGGCAGGTGAGTGGTTAGGAGTAATCAGGGAGGCAGGCAGAGGTGATTAGAAGCAATCAGGAAGACAGGCAAGTGATTAGGAGCCAGCAGTCTTGATTGTGTTAAGGATGTCCGACTACGGGCAGTCAGACATCCCCCAAAGGTCCCAGATTGCCAGGCTGAGGAACACCCCCCCCCCAATGCACAAATTTCGTGCACTGAGCCTCTAGTTGTTAATCGTAGATACTGTTCTAGGTCACCTTGGGTGAACATTTCTCTTTTTATCTCCAGCCATTCTGTTGTCCTCACATTTATCTCTTTGTATCTGAGAGTAGAAGCTGTACCTGAATTATAAACAGTAGGGAATTGCCAATTCACCATCTGGCTATGTATTCTTCTTCCTTAATCGACTGCACATTTTGTCCAAGTGCTGATTTATTGCATTGAGTAATTGTATCCAGACAGCTATATGCCAATCATGTGTATCCTGATTACTCATTATGAGCCTTAGGATACCATACAACTCACTAATGAGCACATTATAATGCTGGCCAGTGCCAATTAGATGATAATCATGTGCACTGCTTTATTTACAGTCCATCCATTTAAATTAATTGGGCATTTAATTGAACACAGTGTGAAAGAAATTGGAATTGCATTTCTCAGTTTAACTTACTTTCATCTGTCATCTCTCACATAGCAGGTGAAATTACTCATTTGATCTGTAAATTTAAAGCAAATATAAATGGACATAATGCTTATTTGATAATGGCACACATATGTAAATTTATCTCAAAATGTGTTAGAAAACAGCAATAAAATTTGCAAATTTTTAATATCCACTAACAGCCTTATATGACCTGATTACAGAGAGAATCTACATATATAAGAGAATCCAGCTCTCAGCTGGAAATATGAGGTGGAATCTTAAACCAACTTTATGATAATGTCCTGATATTTTCTTAGGATAGGAAATTTACATTTAATTCATGAATAAATATGTGGTAAACCATATTTAATTTATGATTCTATGTATTTTTCTCTTTCAGGACATAGTATCAAAACATTCCAGGATCTACATTTTTCAGTGAGTGTTTAATTTCCAAACATTGCATGCATGAATGTATCACTAAATCAAAAGTGTCTATTCATTGAAATAATTTCCTAAAAGCCATGTAGAATAGACATACAATAACTACATGAAAAATAGTTTCTAGACCAAAAAAAAAAAAAAATCTAGAGGCCAACTCTTCTACTTTTTTTCATAGTCACATTTCTGGTTTATAGATATCTGCCTCCATATAATTTTGAGAAGCATTAATTGAACTGAGGGTCTCTTCCCAAAATAAGTAGGAAGATGTGCTGCTCCAACTATTCAAAAAGAACTCTTCATAGGAAAAAAAATCATAAATAATTCTAATAAGCTAATTGGAACTAAACAAATTTTGGAAAGAAGACCTTGGTAGAATTAATAATATGCCAATTTTCAAAGTTATATTGCATTACACTAAGCAACCTTAGTTCTTTCCCTTTTTGCAAGTCAATGCAAACAGGTGATGCAAATAAAATAAATTATGTAAAAATTTTAAAAATATATTTTTCATTTTTAAAAATATTTTTATTGATTTCAGAGAGGAAGGGAGAGGGAGAGAAAGATAGAAACATTAATGAGAATCATTAATTGGCTATCTCTTGCATGCCCCCAACTAAGGATCGAGCCTACAACCCGGACATGTACCCTTGACTGGAATGGAACCTGGGACCCTTCAATCCACAAGCCAACTCTCTATCCACTGAGCCAAACCTGCTAGGGCTGGGCTCATGTTTTTATAGGACTTGAAAGAAATAACTGAGGCTCAGACCAGAAAATACATGAACCTGGATTCTCTAACCCTATCTGTCTGATAGAGTCACATGTTGCTACTGGGAATTTGACATGTGGCTACTCTAAACGGAAATATGCAGAAAGTGTAAATACACATCAGTGTTTGGAAATTTAATATGATAAAATAACAAAATATTAATAATTTTATATTTATTACATGTGATAATATCTTGGATATATCAGTTTAAATAAAATACATTATTAACATTAATTTTACCTTTTTGTTTTTCTTTTTTTAATATAACTAGACAATTTTAAATTACATATGTGGCTTGCATTATTGGCTCATTATATTTCCATTGAAAGACACTGTTCTATCTTAATGGGAAGAATGAACATTTCCCACTTTTATCTTGGGACTAACAAATTATGGGCTCAAAATAAAAAATAAAATAAAAACACACACAAAACCCCTCTTCTGCCCTTGAGGAATTCAAAGTCTTATTTACTCCAAGACTTCTCGTTGATTCCCATGGGAGACTGGCTCCTGCATGGAGTAGCACTGAGTGATGCCTGAAAAGCTGCTGGACATTGGCTTTTCACTCACACTGTCCTACCTTATTTCATTTTTCTATATACAGGCATTTACAACTAAATTATTATCAAAGGTCATTAGACGTTTGCTTGGATCCCAATGTATGACAATGTGTGTGAAAGTAAAATAATCCTCATTATCTTCTTAAAGGAAAAAAAAAATAACCCATGGCACTTCTGTAATTGGTACAACAGCTGTGCATGAAATTCTAGAGTCAGGTCAACTGATAGGGGCTCCTGTAGTGACTAGTTTGTAGTAGGCTCCTTTCTGGGCCATCAGTTCTTTATGGGTGCCCTTCTCAATCACTGTCCCCTGTGACATGACAGCAATGATATTCGAGTTCTGGATGGTGGACAAACGGTGGGCAATGACAATGCAGGTCCGACCTTCTCTGGCTTTGTCCAGGGCAACCTGTACCGTCTGCAAAGCAAAGGTAGAAAGATGATGCAAATATACATGCTGGTTCCCCGGCCCACCACTGAGGAGCTCTGATTCCGCCCGAGTGACATTGCTGTAGCCAGGCTTAACCCCGAAGGCTTGACATAAAAGAAATAAATATTTGCTGAATATAATGCACCAATGGTTTGAATTGCAGTTTATAAGCTGAGAAACGTCAATGAAGCTAGAATGAACCAAACTCTGAGGTCATTATGTAATTTCAAAATACCTGATAGTCTAGTTTGTTAAAATGAAACCAAGGAAGCAAGGTAAGGTAGAAGTCATTGATCATTCCTGATTTTGTTCTTCATCGAAGATATTTTAGCTGTCTCCAAAATGGAATCCTGGTTTTTAAGGAGTTAATAAATAGTAAATTTCATAATTGTGTTTTGCTCAATTGCATCTCCTTTCATTGAAACTGCACAACAGATACCGCCTCTTACTTGGTGGTGTATGCTGCCTACCTGCTCTGCACAAAACTTTAGAACTATAAAAATGGCAATGCCCAACAAATTACCTGGATTATTTTACTTTACTTAATAAAGCTAATTATTGGCCTTTGGGAAAAAAAATGTCACCAAGCTTAGAGAATCTTAAAAACAATTTTTATTTTAAAGTTAAATTTTTTTTTTTAAGTTGAAGCAAACCTATTTTAAATTACTTTAGTTCAGCGATTTTCAACCATTGAGCTGCATGAGTTTTTTAAACATGCAATACCTGACTATGCAATCAGGGGCACTGATCTCTTTTCCCTTAAACTGTCAAATTTAAAAAATGACAACAGCCAACACAACAATAGCCATCCAGTGTGAATGAATCAAAACAAAATTATATCTATTTTTCATCAGATCGACGTGTGTGTGTGTGTGTGTGTGTGTGTGTGTGTGTGTGTGTGTTTGACAGAATTTTAGTAGTTAATGTGTGTCATGAGATGAAAAAAGTTGAAAATAACTGCTCTAGATTGTTGTCATTGGCTCCACAGAGTACTGGCAATTTCTACTGTAAATGAATCAGAAAATTGAAAATAGGACAAATATTATAGGAAAAGACTCATTTATAATGATCTAAGACTTCAGAAAATCAATACATACCTTTTCACTTTCTGTGTCTAAGGCAGAAGTAGCTTCATCTAGTAGCAATATTTTAGGATCTCTCACAATGGCCCGAGCAATAGCAATACGTTGTTTCTCTCCCCGAGAGAGTTGAGACCCCTGGGACCCAACATTAGTTTCATATTTCTGGAAAAAGTATGATAAGTTTGAAAACCAATAGCAGCCATTACTTCTATCCTGTATGGGGCCCCCATCAATGATCCCTCTGGGAACTGAAACAATTTGTTGTTTTTTGAAATTGGAAATAGTGAATGAATGGGTCTTTCTACATTGGATGTCAAATCCATCTAGAAATCTGTGACAAACATAGAGTTTGTGATCTTTTTCGCTGGGAAAAAGGGGGCACTTTTACACCCTTCTCTGCATTTCCTTTAATTTCGTATTTTGATCTCTTTCTCCATGAATGAGATTTCTCATTGCTTCAAGATTCCCTGATTTCCAAACTCCTCTGTGGAAGATTTAAGACAGAATAATCCTAGGAAAGGAGTGCCTTTGAGAGATCTCCTAATCAAGTCCCCCGTGGAGGAGGCACACAAGCCTAGAAGTGAATCCTCATTTTGCTGCTACAAGCTCTGTGATCGTGAGAACATTATTTACATTTCTTTGAGGAACAAACCAGTCTGAAAGATGCAGATGTTAATAACTAGTGCATATATTTGTTGTGAGTTTTAGATGAAATTAGGAAGGAAAATTCTTAGCTAGATTCCTGGCAATATACATAAAAATAGTTACACATTGATGGACTATTTACTAGGCAATTGGTATTGTGCCAAATAACTATTCTAGTTAGATTATCATTTAATAATCACAAAAATCATTTTCTCCCTATTTTACAGGTTACAACACTTAGGCACACACGGCTAAGAAAATTGTGTAAAAATAGACAAATAAATAGCACTGACAGTGGATTCTAGATCCGGGTGTGTCTGGCTTCTGAACTTTTGCCCTTGACCGTTACTCTGCCTGCCTTCCACAATAGGTCTGCTTCTGCCTGCCTTGCCTCCTGAAAAATGCTCATCCAAGCCAAGTGAGATTCATAATAACCTACCTTGTCCTACTTTCATCACTGAGGAAAAGTGCTCAGTGAAAGGTATTATAGGTCTATAAAAGGTATTATATTAAAGGTATTATAAGTCTATCTGAGAAAGAGGCAATAAATTAACTCTAAGCCAGTGTCTTCTACAAAATGAGTAGGTGCTCAACAAATATTTGTGGAATAAGTGAATCTTTCAGTGGACACAAGCTTTGACTTTAAGTCATATTACAGCAAATAGTCATGTCCACATTAGGCTACAAGACAGAATGAGGTCAGAGCCCAAGATTTAGAAGCTTTTGTGAAAAAAAAAAGAAAGAAAGAAAAGGAAAGGAAAAAAGCCCACCACAAAATTTATAAATGTGATCACTTACGAAG